TAAAGGATTCTATGATTCTATGCCTGGCATCTGAAGCATCAGGAAGGTGCAGGACACTGACATCTGAAGGCCACTCCCTCAAGGCACTCTGAATGCTGCTGAACTCCTCAGTTTGGGAACCACATCACTGACTGCAGACAGAACACTTACCGACTCCTGTCCTCCACTTTGACAAACGGGTTTTTCAGTTTACCTGATAAAGGGGGGACAACAGGAAATTAAAAGGGACAGATTTTTTCTTCATTGAGCAAGTTAGTCCAGTAGCTGAATAAATAAGCATACAATAATTTAAGAAAACATTATGTACATGTTTTGACAAATTCTTGCTTTCCATAAAGTTTTTCTACATACTTCCCTTAGACATACAAATTAGAATAGAGCAGCACACTTGACCAGATGAGACCTGCAGTACATTTTTTGAGTGTTCAGAAAGTAAGACAAAAGAAAAACCCTCTACAAATACTGAAATACTTACTTCTTGACTTTTGAGCAGTAACTTGTTTTCCCTATTGAAAAAAAGAGAAGGTATAAATTCCCATTAATATTAGTCTGCATTTTAAAGATTTATCTGTAGCTAATTTTAAGTTACAAGGGTCATGTGTTAATCATGACTTCATAGAGTCATGATAAATTTTTTAGAAAAATAAGTTCATTAATACTTCAGAATTACAGTGACACGTCTCACAAATAAATATGTATTTCTACACTGCAAACAAACCCCCAGTGTTGTCTTTGAGATGTTTTCAGTTATTTTTAATAACCAAAACCAAACAAAAAACACAAGTAAATTTAATCACTTTCTCTCATCCCTTAAAATACCTCTCCAGGACTGGAAGTTGATTCTTCAACAAGGATAACATTTCTTACACCACTTTATAAATGCTAACTAACTACAAGCTGTAAAATGCCACAAAAAATGCAGATAGCAACATTCTCCTGTTAAAAAAAAAAATCTTCTCAATTGAATGGATTTATATAGGTTGGGTTTTTTTTTTTTTTAGTAATGAAGATTAAAATTAAAAGCAGTATTTTGCCTTCAGAAAAGAGTAATATCTACAGTCAAGCACAAGCTGTATTTGTTTCTGGTAAAAGTACAAATGTGTATTTTATACCACCTGAAAAAAAAAAAATTAAACAAAACAACGTAACATGCAGTTGATGGTATGTTTCCAGGTACTTGTTACAGATCCCTGCATAGACTAGATAACTGCACAACTTCATGTGTTTAACTGAAATTAGAGCAACTGCAGATGCAGCACACAAGCAGCTGAAACAATGTCTCACTATATGACACACTAAAACACAGAGAAATCATGGTTTCACAGGCCAACCTGCCCATTATTGGTAGAGCAGTTCAAAGGTGTTTTATGTTAGTTCTTTAAAGGATTAGAAAGGAAAAGATGCAGGGCTGAACAACTGACACAAATTCCCTAGAGACAGCTCCTTCTCTAGGAAATGTAACAGTGATGCTTCAAAGTGGTCCATTTATTTTTTTAATAATGATGAAATGTATAGCTAATACTTTCTGATTTTCAAAGATGTTTCTTAAATCAATTCATAAAACAAACTGGTCTGGGAAAAACTGACCATGAGCAAGGTTTTACTACTAAAACAAAATCGGTAAGCTTCACTGCATGCAGTATTTAGTACACCTGTGTTTTCAGTTAATGAAATTAATGGGTTTTTCACAAATGGCAAAGAGCCACTTACCACATCTTTAAAAGAATTGCCTCTTCTTTTGATTAGGTAGATCTCCTTTTTCTTTTGTTCAATGTAATTCTTAACATCTGTCAAAAAGAGAGAACTTACTTAGCTGAGTTTATTTTTGTATGTTTGAAGTAATTGCTCATTTTTTATATTTTGAATTGAACAAAAGAATAATTAAATGAACATTACAAGTTCAAACTAGGCTTCATCAAACAAAAATGTTTACCATCAAGATGAAGTATCTTCACTCCCCAGCTCAAAGCATTGGACAGTATACTTCCAGAGGGGATTAAGTCCTGCAAGCAAGAAATTAGATTAATAGTTTTAAGCAATTTATGGTAGAGTATGTAAATATATTACAAGATGTAACATGAAAGCTGAGACCAAGGCACAGATGCTTTGCTTCTCGCCAAAAGACTATCAGTCTCCCCAACTGACTTTTCCATCCCCATGTCACAGTGCTTCACCATCAAAAGATTATAAAATGTCAAATAAAGGTTCTCTATTCACATTTTACTCAACTGTTCCCTACTGTCACATCTTATTGTAACTAAGATTTGAAGACAATTAATTTATAACTTAACTTCATGAGCACCTCCCAAATACTAGCTATATTAACAATTCTGTAGAGTCTTATGACCAGTATTCTAATTCAGACTTTCAATGCAAGTACCCAGAAAGCAAGACCTGACAGTTTTACTTATGGAATGCTGAGGCACAAGTTGAGAGATTTTCCTGCAGGATGTCTCTCTTAGACCACTAAGAACACTCTTGATACTTATTTCCTAGAAGGGCAAACCCAAAGTTCCTCAAGCACGAGTTCACTGATTACATGGCTCACCTGCTCTTTGATTGCTTTTTCGACTAAGGATTTTCCTCTGCTCATACATACCTACATAAAAACAGAAACACATTTGTAGCAAGTTAGAACCCATTTCAAAGAAACAAAAGGTAAGCATTTAAGTTGTTGCTAACAAATACATATTTTAGCTATGATAGCCTCCTCTTGTTTACTATACTGCTCTTTTTCATTAATTCCCATCTTCCCCACAAGGTTAGTGTTGGTATAATTGGGGGGTGGGGGTGGGAAGGGAGAAGAAAAAACAAGTCAAAAAGTAGCTGTTTTCACCCATGGCTGAAGCAACCATAGTGCCAGTGGCACTCACCAAAACATGAGGTTTCATCATCAGGACTTGTCCGGGTTATTGGCAAAATGAGGTGATCTCCCCCATGTAATGCCAAGACCAGCCCAGAGACTGGCTCACAGTCATGTTTCTAAATAGCTGCCCTGTATAGTACAGCTCATTCTTTCCAACCCCATTTTGAAAGAACACAAGACATGCCCACGTAAGAAACTTCATGTAAACTTGCATAAATTCAGATACTGTCACAATTAACAGGACCCCTTAAGAGAGTGCTCAGAAAAACTTAATATTCCTAATGCTCGATTTTATTTATTTCCTTCAACTATATCAAGATACCTGCACTAACATCACAGCAGCCAGATACTAACAGGCTGTGTTGCTAAAGAGACAGTAACCATTGGATGCCACCACAAGCCTACACATATTGATCCAGCTGTCACACGTAACATTAATTTTTAATTATAGGTCACACATATTAGATTTTAGTGTATTCTGCTTATTTGCAGAAAAGGATTTTTCTTTTTTTAGTTTTTGAAACTTTGCTTAATTAGTTTTAGTTAAGTTTACCAAGTTACCCTAAACTAGTTTAAACTATGTTTGACCTGCTGAAAACCAAAAAAAAAAAAACAACCCACCCAAAAAATCCTTATTCACCCAAGGAACTGTTGCCATATTCAGGAAATAAAACAAGAAAAATTGTCAGAGTACATCCCACAGGCTGTAGCTGATTCGCAGCATTATTACTGAGACACTTACTGTACCCACCATCTTAAAAGAAACTCCACCGTGTTGATCTTTTCGGTTGCTAGGATGAGGTGAGCTATTTTCCCCATTATGTGCAGATTCTGGGCTGGGAACAGGAGAAATCTGACCAAGAGCTGGTGCAAATTTTGCCTCCTTTTTATTAGACACCAGATAGCTGATATCTTTACTAAGAAAACTCTCCACTCTCTAAATATAAAGACAGGAAGCAAATAATTATTTCAGGACAATAAAGCAGTAACTCAACTTTACATTTTATACTTTTAAGAAAAATGGCAAAACTTCTAGAAAAATAAAGCTCACAAACGTTGAATTAATGAGATAGTATTTCCTAAAGATCTGGATGACAAATACAGCTGAGCTGTATTAGCATCTTACCAGTCACAAATTCCAATCTCTATTTCTAAATTTTGTAATCTGTATCAAAAGTGCTTTGCTTTGTTTTAATCATTATGATTCTTTGCACTATCTAGCTGTAATACTTTCCAAATAGAAGAATACAAACACTGCATTGAGAAATAACAGAATAATCCATGGAAAATTACAGTTTATCGAATTTTATGTAACAGAAATTACACAGAAGCATTCAGCTAAACTTAAAGGTATGTGTACATTATAAATTCACTGAGTTTAGAACTAACAGAAAAAATAAAACTCCAGGATAGGTACCTTGTTTCACATCTACAGCATTCATAACACTTCTCAAAAATGCAGAAGACTTAAGTAGATTCATAATATTTTCATATTCAGCAAGACAAAATGTGATTATCGTAAGCTTATTCTCTTCCATCTTGTGCCTTCAACTCTTTTGTTACCACTGTATGATTAGAGGTGCCATTTGCATTGTTATTTCCTGCCAGTTTAAGCAGCTTGAAATATTGTCCTCTTCCCCACAAGTCAGTATGGAAAGCACAAACTGCACAGGCAGCAAGCCTGAAACTGTGCCTTTCAATTCTGCTCTGTTTTTCTTCCAGAACTAGGACACAGAGAAGGAGGCACTTTTGAGTGCACTCCACAGAAGAAACAAGGAAGCACAACTACTAGTTGATTTTGGTGGCACTGGGCACCGCAGATTTAGGCATATGCTCCTCAAAATAAACCAGAAAAACTTCCTTTTCAGTCTTTGTTTTGCAACCTTGCCTTTCACATATGAATTTCTAAAAATTCTCTTTTAGAAAGACAGAAGATAGCATGTGCTCATTTAATGCTAGGTGTAAAGAGAGGCATTTAACCTGAACCCATGCTATTGCTATTTCTTGCCTCTACTATAATATGAGACAGCATCTTGATTTACAAGCCTCAATTTCATCAAAACTACTCAGTGCTCCCACGATCAAAGTAGTATTGCCAAAGAAATGTACAGAATAGCTGGCAGTTTAAGCAGATCCCTTTTGCTTCTGTGGTTAAAGGCTGTTTAACACTTTAAGTGCCAAGATTACCCTGCACTAGTTCAGAACACACAAATTCAAAGTGCTTATGTTGCTATGGTATCCTGTACTTGCTTGTACCAAAGTGTTTCTTCCATACAGAAGAGAGAATTGCAGGGGGAGGGAAAGTATTAAGATGCTTAGAAAATTTATTGTTTAAATAAGAGTATTTAAATAAAATGACTAACAATCTGTGCAGAAAGTACTTACTGAAGTTACTGACTTTTTTAAGCATATGTAAAACATTTTCTCTCATCTCTTTCAGGTTCAGCTGAACAACTTCAGCTGTAACATGTAAAAGTGTCAATATTAAAATTGTATAAAGTTTTAAGCAAATGAATAATCAACTGTATCCTGGTTTGGGTTAGAACAGAACTGATTCTGTTTGGTGATGTTACTTTGCAGCTACAGCTCTTCTAACTGCACTTTCTGAAGTTAATAGCACATTTCGCAGTCAGCGTCTGCTTCTAGCGGTGATAACACTCAATGTTTAGAGTTACCATCAACGACTGGTGTGCAGACCACTGCTAAACCCTGTGTACCACACTGAGGGGTGCAGAAAGCAAAGGCCACACCTGCAGGGAGGAGCAGACAGGAGAGGTGACCCTAAACTGACCAACAAAGTATCCCATTCTCTGTATGTCATATTCAGTATAAAGCTG